ATTGACTTATAAGTGTGTTAAGTGTGTCTTTAACTCTCTCCTTGACTAATAAATCGTAAATTTATAAAAGTAATTTTTTTTAATGTTAAATTGTAAGTGTATAAGTGTCCCATTTAATAGTCATTTTTAAGTATGGTGTATATTAAGTGTTTTGGAAGTGCACCTGAACTGTGATAAGTAATGGTAGTGTGGTGGTGGTAGTAGTAGTAGTAGTAGTTAACTACGTTACCGATAAGGGCAAATGGTTCCAGTCTTAACAAACAAGAATTTACAGATGCCATTGCTCTAAGGTATGGTCGGCCAGTAGAAGGTTTGCCCTCCCAATGCGTGTGTGGCTCTTCCTATGACGGCGATCACGCCATGGTGTGCAAGAAAGGGGGCTTCATATGCATGAGGCATGACGAGGTAAGGGACCTCACAGCAAATATGTTGAAGGAAATCTGCCGGGATGTCAGGGTAGAACCGACCCTCCTTCCATTGGACGGTGAGAATTTCCAACATAGGACTTCAAACACATCTAACGAAGCCCGTGTGGACGTCAGTGCTCGAGGATTCTGGACGCGGGGACAGCGAGCTTTCTTCGACATCAGGATTTTTGATCCCATGGCCGCATGTCACCGTAACCTAGCTCTCGATGCTGCACACAGGAGGAACGAGAACGACAAGATAAGGGCATACGGGGAGAGAATTCAAAACGTTGATCAAGGCAGCTTCACTCCTCTAGTGTTCACAACCTCTGGTGGGATGGGACCAAGTGCAAGATGTTTCTACGCCAGACTCGTGGAGGTGATCTCCGAACAGAAGCAGCAGCCCAGAAGTTACGTTACAGCCTGGATGAGATGTCGACTGTCCTTCTCTCTCCTTCGGTCGGCTTTGCTCTGCCTCAGGGGAACGAGAGCTTCTGCCCCACTCCGACAACTGCTGCAGATATTGACTATGAGGCTACAGTCACTGAATGCCGCATAGATCTGCGGCTCAACTAATTTAACACAGATAGGATAGCTTCTTATGTATTAGGATATTTAATATTAAGGTAATTAAATGGCGGCGAAGGTGTGGCTATTGGGGGAGGCTGGAGGCCACGTTAAAAAAAAAGAAAAAAAAGTAGTAGTGGTGGTGGTGGTGGTAGTAGTTGTGGACGCTGACGAACCAATGACAGATGATGATTGAGGAGTAAACTTGATAGTGGACATGTAGGCGTGTTTTGGAGGGGGCGTGTGGGCGTGTGGGCGTGTAGTCGAGGCATAGAGAGAGGGAGGGAGAGAGAGAGAGAGGGGGGAGATAATAACGAGAGACTAACAATAACTATCACCCACAAGGTAGGTCAAGCGTTGCTCCTCAGGTCAACTCTTGATCTTCAGGGCGTGACCTCTGACCCTGATCCTTCTTTATACCCTGGTGGAAGGGGTGGGAAGGAAGGGAGGGAAGGAAAGAGGGAAGAGGAGGGAAGGAAGGGAGGGAAGGAAAGGGGTGAAAGGGAGGCGGGATGGAGGGAGGGAAAGGAGGCAGGCTGATAGACAGAGGTGGATAAGAGGGCAAGGGGGTAAAGGGAAGAGCCAAGGGCAATATGTAACGGTCAACAGCAAGACGTCTCTCCCCCCCTCCCGCCCACATAAAAACCCCAATTAGCATTCAAGACCCCCCCTCCCCCCCTCACACACACGCTCACCCCAGATTTGTGCTTTTGTGGAGGTTAAGTTAGACTATTTTTAGGGTGTGTTTTAAACGGTCATAGTCGCCACGCAAGAAAGTGGACCCGGGTTCGATCCCCGGGCAGGGTGAAACTATGGGCAAGTTTCTTAACGCCATTTGCCTCTGTCTACTCAGCAGTAATTGGGGACCTGGATGTTAATCGATATGCAGATCGTGTTCCGGGGTAATGGTTAGCCAGTGCAGTTGGTGAGTTGTCCGGTCTTCTCGGACTATTCCTTGACGTTGGGTCATGCAACTCGTTAACTTAGGGTGTGGTTGTTGTGTTGGCGACAGCATCTACACCTTAAACAAATTCACGCCTAGGTGGCCCTTGGGCCGGCCATCCTCGTTACACGAGGGGCAACTATTACTTAATTAATAAGCTTTGAGGACGATGGTTTAAGTTATAATTATTTCAAGACAATGATCATTGTTCATCCTAGGAATAAAATATCCTTCTTCCCACTGGGCGTTGTTCATCCTCGGAATAAAACATCCTTCTCTTCCTTCTCAACCCCCTCACACCTCATGACACACGCCTGACTCACTAGACCATTGCATCATGACCTACTGAGGACGATAATCATGAAATCTTTCTCTCTCTCTCTTTCTCACTGTCTCTCACGTTCTCTCACTTTCTCTCAGTATATAATTGGAGATAATGAGACACCACGTACATTACATGGATATTTTAGTGGGTTTTTTCATTTTTTTTCACAGTATGGAGAAAGTTCGTCTAGACGGTAGGAATGAGGAACACACGCCTTTAGTACCCAATGTACCCTAACCTGTGTGTGCGTGTGCGTGTGTATGTGTGTGTGGACGTAAGTGTATGTATGTATATGTGTGTGTATATGTATGTGTATGAATGTATGTATATATATATGTGCGTAGATGTAAGTATGTGCGTGTGTGTGTTTGTAGATAGTGTATGTATGTGGAGATATAGGTGTTTGTGTGTATGTATCTAAAGCACATATATGTACACATGTGGCAGTAAGCAATACCAGGTGTGTGTGGGTAGGGTGTAGGTGTACCAGGAGCTAGGCCAGGTGTAGGAGGAGACGAAGGAGGGGGAGGAGGAGGAGTAGAAGTAGGAAGAGGAGGAGTAGGAGAGGCAGCAGGGAGGAGGAGGAGGAGTAGAAGTAGGAGAGAAGGAGGAGGAGGAGAAGGAACTAAAGGGGTCGTGAAGAATAAAGATAAGGAGGAGAAAGGAGAGAAATAAAAGGAGAAGTAGAAGGAGTAGAAGGAGAAAGGGGGAGGTAGAGGTAGAGAGGGGGGCGGTGGTGGTCATGTCGTAACCACCACTTAACCTGTCAATAAGTAGCATCACTCGTGTGCCTCCGACAGAAACTACTTATTGCTTCCTTCTGTAACAAAGTGGGCGAATTAGCTACCATTTCTCACCTGTATGGTAGGTTAGCGTGTGGGACCATACTATAGGACCCCTGTGTGGTAGTCAGAGGACCATTGGACCCTGTGTGGTAGTCTAAGGGCCATTGGACCTTGTGTGGTAGTCTGACGACCATTGGACCTTGTGTGGTAGTCAGAGGACCATTGGACCCTGTGTGGTAGTCTAAGGGCCATTGGACCTTGTGTGGTAGTCAGAGGACCATTGGACCCTGTGTGGTAGTCTGAGGACCATTGGACCTTGTGTGGTATCTGAGTACCTAATAAGACCCTGTGTGGTAGTCTGAGGACCATAGGACCCCTGTGTGGTAGTCTGAGGACCATAGGACCCCTGTGTGGTAGTCCTAAAAACCATGGGACCCGTGTGGTAGTCTGAGGACCACCCCATGTGGTAGTCCTGAGGACCCTCCTGTGTGGTGGTGGGACCCCTGTGTGGTAGTCTGAGACCATAGGACCCTGTGTGGGTCTAAGGACCATAGGACCCGTGTGTGGTAGTCCTGGGACCATGGGACCCCGTGTGTGGTAGTCTAAAGACCATGGGACCCGTGTGTGGTAGTCCCCTGGACCATAGGACCCGTGTGTGGTGTCTAGAGACCATAGGACCCCTGTGTGGTAGTCTGAAGACCATGGGACCCCTGTGTGGTAGTCTAAGACCATAGGACCCTGTGTGGTAGTCTGGGACCATGGGACCCCTGTGTGGTAGTCTAAGGACCATAGGACCCTGTGTGAGTAGTCTGAGGACCATAGGACCCTGTGTGTGTCTAAAGACCATAGGACCCTGTGTGGTAGTCTGAGGACCATTGGACCTTGTGTGGTATCTGAGTACCTAATAAGACCCTGTGTGGTAGTCTGAGGACCATAGGACCCCTGTGTGGTAGTCTAAGGACCATAGGACCCTGTATGGTATACCGGGGGACCATAAACCCCTGTATGGTAGAGCTGTTTCCTTGCTGTCTGTCTGTCTGTCTGTCTGTCTGTCTGTCCGTCCGTCCGTCCGATGGTCTTGTCCGCGCGATAACTTGAGTAAATTTTCGTGGATTATCATAAAACTTGGGGTGTAGTTTCGTTTCATTAATACCTGAGACAAGTTTGATAATGAGTGTTTTTTATCAATGTTTATAAGAGTTAAGGAGAGTTGAAGGTAAAACACATGTGGTTATGGAAGATTAAGTGTGTGTGTGAAGCCTTCATCCAATAGTGAGGTGATGGTGGTGATGGTGGTGGTGATGGTGATGGTGGTGATGGTGGTGGTGGTGGTGGTGATGGTGGTGGTGGTGGTGGTGATGGTGGTGGTGATGATGATGGTGATGATGATGGTGGTCACACATATAGTGGTCAGCAAGACACACGTGGCCTCAGGTAAGTGTACAGAAACACAGATAATTGTCATTATATACACCAGAGGGAGACTTGTGTTTCCTTTCCCCTCCCTCCTACCTGCTTCCACCCACACCTGTCCCCCCCCCCAACCCCCCCTGCTACCTCCTCTTCACATCTCAGTGAGCTTCACGCCCCTCACCCCTCCTCCAAACTTCCTCCCCCAGACCCCCCTTCCTTCTTTTTCCTCCCGCCCCCATACACAATGCTTCCTGAGTCCTCCCTCTCTCCGCCCCTCCGTTCCTCCCTTCCTCCCACTCCCCTACACAAGCGGTCGACGCCGTCCCGCGGGTCAGAATCGTCTAGGCAGCCGCGAGGTACGGACGGACTGGCGGACGGAAGGAGGGAAGACTTGACTCACTCATTGGCGACGAGAGTGAAGGCGAGCGAGGCGAGCAGTGTGTAACGGAGCCTTAACCCGGTACCGACCCCTACCCCCCGCCCTCTCTGGAGGTCACACACAGCCAGAGGTCATCCTGGGTCACCTTATGGGACGAGTGTGTGTCGACGAGGTCACCAACATGAGTCTCCCGCGGCTGTTGAACTCGAGAATGTTGGAGCTGCGACGACAACTGGTGGCGAGCAGCTCCTCCTCCAACACTACCCGCGACCCTCCACCACTACACCTCAGTAGGAACCTCTTCGGCACCGTCGACCTCCAACACAACCTCAAGTTCGCCCAGCAGGAGATGGACAAGATCCACCAAGCGGACAGTAAGCGTTGGAACTTTGACTTCCTCGCTGAGAAACCCAAAGACGGCGACTACAAGTGGCAGAAGGTGGACGAAAACACCCCACAAACATGTAATATCCCGAGGTTAACCTGCCGTACCCCGAGGACCACCACCACCACCTCCTCCTCCACCTCCACGGACTCCACCTTCACCTCCACCCACACCACATCCAGAAGAAACAATAAAGGTGTTAAAAGACTCCACAAAAAACCATCTGGGAAGGTCACTCAGAAGCTGTGTACAGATTTCTTCAAGCAAGTGAAAGTGTCGAAAAATCCGTGTGTGAGTAACGAGCAGAAAGACGCCGGGGCGGAGGTGACAGCGAACACACAGTCTGTCAGCATTAAATTATCAGACGTTCTAAAAATCAGATCACTCAACGTTAGATAGAGAGTGAGGGAAAGTGAGAGAAAGCAAAGACAATCTAACTCTCTAACTCCAGGAGAACAACCATGCGAAGAGAGTGTCAAGTGTGAGTGTCAAGTGTGAGTGTTTGAGTGCAAGCCAAGACCTCAAAGTATTCCTGACAATTTACATTATTTTCACTTATTTTCTTAACTCTTGTGAGAATATTTTTTTCACCTAAATTTCCGAAAAAAAAAATATATCTACGAATTCTTTTGGAAATTAAGAACTAACTGACTTGACTGATTCTAAGGATTTACGATGAGTCTTGTGGTGTTTTATGTCTTCCCAGAGCTAAAAACTATCTAGGAATTTACCAAAAATCTACCGGAACTTCAGAAATTAAAACAAGTGTTCCACATCAACCAAACGACAAGTGTTCCACATCAACCAAACGACAAGTGTTCCACATCAACCAAACGACAAGTGTTCCACATCAACCAAACGACAAGTGTTCCACATCAACCAAACGACAAGTGTTCCACATTAGTCAAACAAGCTCTCTTCATCAATTAACACAGGTTGTTACTCTCTCTCTCTCTCTCTCTCTCTCTCTCTCTCTCTGTCTCTCTCTCTCTCTCTCACGACAGAATGAACCAGCCACCACGCCTTGAATGACTGTCTCTTTTCCTTACTGATCCACAATCGCTCTATACCACTGTCTATCTGTCTATCTGTCTGTCTCCTATCCCAAGAGTTAGACGGAAAAGCTTTAATGAAAGTTATCCAGAGGTGATGGCTATGGCAACTCTGTTTAGGGTCAATTGCCAGTTATGTTTTTTTCTTTAGTTGATTTTTTTCCTTATCTAAGGTTTCGATAATCGGCATTTCCTTGTGTTTATTGTTTATTGTTGTGTTGCTATACCCTCATTTAGTGTGTTTTTTGTTGTTGCTGTTTCTTTGTGTTTATTCATTATCAGGTGAAAGTTGTTTTTAGAATGTGAAATTTTGTCATTATACCAAGTGTGTGCAGTAATAGATAGATAGATAGATAGATAGATAGATAGATATATAGATAGACAGATAGATAGATAGATAGATAGATCAGAAATAAAAAAAAATCATATTAATTTGTATTTCTGAAAACAAAAAATTCAAAAATTCTCAAACCAATTGATTTTTTTTAAAGACAAAAATTCAATTCAGATAAAAAATTGTTCCAAATTATAATACAATAAAAAATTAAGAGACAACTTACAAAAAAAAAATACGGAATATGGAAAAAGAAAAAAAAAACTGTATTGGAAATTATTGTATATGTATAGATAAAGTGCTCCTGTATTTACCATCATACATAATACATCATACATAATACATCATACATCATACATAATACATCATACATAATACATCATACAAGAAATGCTGATTCAATCTATCTGAACTTTATCTCGTCGGTGTGGTAACAATGTAATTTATTTTCTTAATTTATCGTGTAAATAGATGAATAAAAAATATATATTGTATTTATTTGAATAAACTATAAAATAATATTGTATTTTTTTATTATTATACATGTGACCTTTGACCTGGTTTTTATGACCTTATGAAAATTGTGTGTGTGTGTGTGTGTGTGTGTTTTATAAAGGGTTTGAAATAATTATATAGAAAATGAATTGGAATAATGTTGAATAAATACAAAATAAAAATATGAATAATGAGAAAAATAAAAAAAATTTATAAAATAAATAAAATAAGGTATTAGAATATTGGTGAAGAGTTAAATAAGGTAAATTAGAACTGGGGTCTATTAGAACTGGGGTCTATTAGAACTGGGGTCTATTAGAAGAAGGGCCTATTAGAAGTGAGGTCTAATAGAAATGGGGTCTATTAGAACCAAAACCCATTAAAACGAGGCCCTATTAGAGTTGGGGCCCATTAGAACTGGGGCCCATTAGAACAGGGGCCCCCACTGAACCTGTTCCTAGTTTTTTTTTGTCACCTGAACTCGTAATATTGTGTAACCTGGAGACGAGGTATAGAGTTACCCCCCCTTCTCTCACCTGCCCGTCTCACGTTTTCTGTCGTATTGTTGTGGTTGGTCACTTGAGTGTTACCCGCGCCTCTCTCTCTCTCTCTCTCTCTCTTCATGAATTGATTTACGATAGCTATTTTTACCTCTCTCTCTCTCTCTCCTTATTCCATATTTTTTTTCACTGTTGAGGAATATGGGACTGTGTGTGTGTGTGTGTGTGTGTGTGTGTGTGTGTGTGATAGACAGACACACACACACATAAATAGACAGAGAACAAAAGGTTATCACAATAAGATAACAAGTGTTCTACGCCCATTTGTTATCATCACTACAACAATAACAGCGTCAGATGTCCTAGTTGTTATATTGGCTTTAATCAACAACACCTGACAGAATCGCCTGTGTTATCTTGGAATTGATAACGAGAGAAAAAATAACATGTTATCCTCCACCTTGGTTAGAGAGGGGCTTTGAGAATGTCTGTGTCTGTCTGTCTGTCTGTCTGTTTATCTGTCTGTCTGTCTGTATGTCTGTTTATCTGTCTGTCTGTCTGTCTGTCTGTATGTCTGTTTATCTGTCTCTGTCTGTATGTCTGTTTATCTGTCTGTCTGTCTGTCTGTTTATCTGTCTGTATGTCTGTCTGTCTGTCTGTCTGTTTATCTGTCTGTCTGTCTGTTTATCTGTCTGTCTGTCTGTCTGTCTGTCTGTTTATCTGTCTGTCTGTCTGTCTGTTTATCTGTCTGTCTGTCTGTCTGTCTGTACACTATATATTAAGTTGATTATTATCCATATCTATAAAAAAAAGACAACAATAATTAGTTATCTTACCTTAAATAACAAAAATATTCAGTTATCTTGTTATTTTATCCACAATAACAACACGACCATCTGTGTTAGCTTAACCGGGAGGGAAAAAATCACCAGTAATCCGGATTTGAGAGAGAGAGAGAGATTTTTCCACAAGCTATAGGTCACAGTGAGGGGATGAGAGGAAAGGCAAGGAAGGTCATCTTAGCCATTGAGGTCACGACAGGTCAAAGGTCGTCTTTTTTTTTTGAACAATAGTAGAGAATATTAACTTAATCAACGGGGGATTTTCATTGGCTAGGGATTAAGAGAGATTCCTAGCGTTCGTGGATTTAAGGTCGGATTTACATAGGGATTTATTTTTTGCTGAGGTACTGGGAGGATTAAGTCTGATTCGTTTGTCTTTTGGTTATTGTTTTTCTTTCTTATTATTTTTGTTGTTGTTTAGTTCCGTTTTCCATTTCCTCTTGTTATTGTTTTTTTGTTGTTGTTACGATATACTTCCCCTTCTACATCCACCCCCTCTTCCCCCCACACCTCTAACCCTTCTCCCACTCCTCGTAACCTCCCTCCCCTCCTCCCCCTCATATACCTGGACATAATACAACACCTACCTGACTCTTAAGGAAAACCGCATATTATTACAGCCTCACCCCACCCCCCCTCTCTCCTCCTTATTACTTCACCCCCCTTCCCCCACCACAGCCTCCATACCCCTCCCCCACCACACCCCCCCTTCCCCTCTAGAAAAAAATAGTATAAATTGGTCTAAGACTCTACCGTATACTAAGTACTTCTCAGCGTCTTGGCTGATAGATCACACACACACACACACACACACACGCCGCACACACACACGCACACACACACACACACGCACACACACACGCCGCTCACACACACACACACACACACACACACACACACACACACACACGCCGCTCACACACACACACACACACACACACACACACACACACACACGCCCGCTCACACACACACACACACACACACACACACACACACACACCGCCGCTCACACACACACACACACACACACAGGCAGGGGTTGAGAGGTGCCATAAAACCACCGGCCATTTTATTTACAACTTCTGGTTTATGGAGCTGCAGAGGTGAGGCTTTTATACCCCGAGAGAGAGAGCTAGCTTTAACAGCCTCTTGGGGGTACATTAGAGGACCGGTGGTTTACGGGGCAGTAAACACTAAGAGGTGGTCTTTTTAGTTCGAGTTTTTTCCTCTCTCTCTCTACAAAGATGTTGGTTCAAATTCATCACCCTTCCCTTCCTTTCCTTCCTTGATCTTCCCTTTCCTTCCATTATCTTCCCTTCACCTCTTCTCCTTTCCCTTCTCTTCCCTTCCTTTATCTCCCCTTCCCTCCCCTTCCCTTCTAACACACACACACACACACACACACACGATTGTTACCTGAGCTCCTCCCAGTATCTGATGGAAGAGTCACACTTCTCTTCTCCCACACTGTATGTATGTATGTATGTATGTATGTATGTATGCATGTATGTATGTATGTATGTATGTATATGTATTCGTTTATATACCTTTACCTGCCCTTACGTACCTGTATTCCCACTATTAATAAGTATACCTGAAGATCAATTAGTACCTGTATCTACCTGTTCTCGTATCTTTACCTGTCCAATATCCACACATACGCCTATGTACCGGTAACCTTAATATAATATCTAACTCAACACAAACAAGTAACAAAAACATTTCTAACTCAACACAAACAACAAAAACATTCTAACTCAACACAAGTAACAAAAACATTCTACATAAAAAAAATTGTATCATAAAAAAATAAATTCCATTCACAACT